TTCCGGCCGATACTCATTACCCAATGTATTACCAATTGGGATACCACCATGTACCACAGAATTTTCACTCGTCTCCTCCTTTCCCAATCCATCTTCTCCGCCCACCCTGTGATACCCATTACCCAATGTATTACCAATTTGGGTACCACCATGTACCACAGAATTTTTACCCGTCTCCTCCTTTCTCAATCCATCTTCTCCGGCTACCCCTTCATTGTTGCAGCCACCATCTCCTTATCTCCCTTCTCCCTTTCACCTTCCGCAACACACGCACGCACCCCTGCACCACCGTACGAACTAACACAAACACAGGGACKAGGAAATAGGCAAAGCACACCTGAACCTTCCCCTTCGTACCGCCTCTATCGTGTCTCATCTCCGTCGTCTGCCTCGTGAACCACTCCAGCAAGTCCCAGTCAATGCTTTGAAGCCATCAAAGAAACAATCAAAGCAAAACCAGAAAGGGTTGTTGATTTCATARGGCCAAATCAAAGAAGAGAGATAAGGTTTTCTAATAAAGGAGAAGATGAGATGGTTGTAGCAGGGGAAACCGTCAATGAAAAAGTAGATGGGGGTGGTGGGGGTGGCCGGAGAAGAAGTAGACGAAGGAGAAGAGTACCTAAAGCATCTAGGGTTTTATAATTATAACATTACCAATTTACCCTTTATGTTATTTTAGGATATAACATTAATTATTTAAATGATTGGCTCATATTGGTTCTCACAGTTACCACAAACAACTCAGTTCTCATTTGATTAAGCCCCTATATATATATATACTAGGTTTGGACCCGTGTATTACACGGGTTAATTTAATACTTAATTCTCACGATGCACCTAGTTATGTTGTAAGTATGAGAAATAACTAATATCTGATGACTTCATGTTGATAATTTGTATCACTAATGTCATTTAAGTGTAATAGGATTAAATTGTTGACCAATGTAATCATGATAAATATTGAACAGGTAAGGCAGGTGCAGAGTGCACACTTGTTTAAGTTTATTTTGATTTAAGGACGAAGCCCCTAACAAAAGGGGTCCGGGAGCAGCGCCCCCGGTGGTGGGGTCCAAGGGGCGGCAGCCCCTTGCGGGGTCCAAGGGATAGAGCCCCTGGTCGGGGTCGAGTTGCCAGTTCAGCTTGGAATTTTTTTTCCCGGGTAATATTGCTTTGTGAAAAATGCTTCAAAAATCCGAATTTGAAATTTTAAACCTGGTTTTGATGACCACTCCAGAGTTAAATTCAGACGTGAATTTTTCCAGAGTTATGTT